TTGAAAGGTATACAAGATCCTGGACAAGATCACAATATGAGCAATAGAAAATTCACATCAACATCAATATGAGAATTTGACAAAATGAAAGGTCTGCCTGCAGTAACTATGAACAAAAGTTAGATGGCTCCTTACCAAATGGTAAGTTCTTGGACACCGATCCACACGGCACCCAAGAGTTGCCCCTGGTCTTCCACAGCGGGTACATTTCAACGCCCTTCCTCTACAAAGTGCAGCTCTGATGTTTCTTAAACACCCTAAGCCAGCAAAATAAACCTACAGACATTAATCAACAACAAAATTTTTTGAATGAGGAAAAAAAATAGCATAAACTGGTATACGTCAGAATGCTCTTAGGAACTCAAAAGAAAAAGCTGACAGGCTGTCAAGAGCAAAAAAAACAATATATGGACTGATGTTACTTGTATTAAACATTGAATGTCAGGAGGTCAGCAATTTCCAATCCTAACTATTTGATAACCAAAACATCAAACACGTATACATTTTTTTTTTTTTTGGTAATGTTTTAGATATTAAATCAAAGCAAGGGAAGAACAAACTTCATACAACCAAGAGCTCCAAAAAAGATGTGTACACTGTGTCTCTCAAATGCCTTGGGAGTATTTAAAGGCATCTAAACAAAAAATGGTAATGAAACAGCAACTTGAAATGTGACTTAATGTTTAAAACAAAAGGAAATATAGATGAAATGACAGCCAAGTTTTAAGCATGCATCTCCCCACCCCCCCACCCCCCTCTTATCTATTTGATTCAATCAATCAATCAAAGCCTTTGGGGTTGGCAACATTAAACAAAAGTGATTATTCCGTATAGTCATCCACAAAAATCTTCCTCCTCCATCCTTTTCAATCAAATACCTCATTCTCATGCAATCCATACGCTTCATATCCTTCCTAACTCCTTCCAACTAAGTCATTTTCAGTATCCCTATACCTCGTTAAACTTATCTGTGATCTCACTCTTCCACTCTTCAATTAGAAAAGACATTGGACATTATAGGATCATAAAGGGGAGTGGATGGATAAATAAAAGGAAAAAAAAGAAAAAAGAATACACTAAAAGGTGCAACCACCGGAAAAGAAATTATGTACTAAAGCAAAGTCAACTAAACCTCTCCTATAATTTAAAGCCAAATTAAATTGAAAAGGATTTTATTTTCCTTTTTCTTCAAACTTTTATCTTCAAAATATATGTTTTAGTTTATGTTTGATTATAAAACATGATATTATTTCCACAGATCTCGTATATATACACCATTAAAGATAATTCAAAGACGAAGTATAAAATTGAATATATTAACAGCAATGGTGAGCTATAAGCCTTGTAGCTTTGTTTACCAACTAAGCTTTCTAAACTACAACCGTGAAAAACTACTTTACCCTCCAATGGTAAGCAACAATCTCTTCTAACTTAAATGGGCCCACGTGTTAAAATTATTTTATAATAAAAGAAAAACAACAAACAATAACTTTAATGCTTTTGAATTGCCAAGTGGAACCATGATATATGTGAAACCACACCGCTTTGTGGAGCTACATATATATCACCAAACTACAACTAGTGTTGCTTCACACTAGTAAGCTCACTGCTCCAGCTATTAATTATTTGCAAGCAGGTTGTTCATTACAACTGGTGGATGCTCTTCATTCCATTTTTGTGATATGACTTAAACAAGTATACCATGGATGCTCTCAAAAAAAAAAAACAAACAAACAAACAAACTGAGAGGTAGCATGAGGGTATACGATTCCGACACAGAGAAGGGAATTTTAATTGAAAACTCAGGCCACATACCTGTAAACATTGAACACCAGGTATATATGTCTAAAATTAGTAAACACACCTGGGAAGTACACATGAAGCTAAAAGTTATTCTTTTTATCTGAAGCTATCTGCCATTAAATTTTAAATAATTATAAAACATCGTCATCCCAATTTCTTCAAGAGACACAATTAATTGATAGGGTAAGCATCCTTACAATTGCTCAGAAGCTGAACCTAACTTCAATCAAATTAACAAACTTTTTAAGGCTAAAGCATCTAAATCGTAAGGAGTAAGGACTAAGGAGCAAAATATCCTGAGTGTTCCTAGTAGACTCAAACCTTTTCAGACAAATTAAACGCATTATCATGTAGGATAAGGTAGACAAGTAAAAAGAATATGAATCATGCAACTCACCTCTGGACTCCATACAGCACAATGTTGATGAACCCAAATTCCAGCAATTCCATATCGGTCATTTATAGGGCCCAAGAGTCTTCCAAGCCAACCAGGTTCATCACCAAAACCATCCCATGGATCATAGTTGCATTCCTCAGAAGCAGATGAACCACTGTATGCCTCATTGTCACTGCCAGCAGAATCATTAGCCGTAACCTTTGGAGGCTTTCCATCAGTCCCTCCTCCACACAAACCACATCGTCTTCCCTTCTTTACACGTGATTTAGGAATCCCACCAACAGCAACATTGCAATCAGCCTGATCTGCACCACTATCAACCTCTGCATGTATTTCCTTAACTTCTGCAACCTCTTTTAAAACATCATGTCCCACATCTTCAGCTAAATCAGTAGCCATCGCAGTCACCTCTGCAACTTGATTATGATTTTCATCACCCTCATCATGTTTCAATGAATCCAATGCTTCATGATTCTTCTCATCACCTACCATATTGTCAATGCTATCAACCTTTTCCATAGGTATATCATCCTTAGGACCTTCACTCTCTATATCTACAAGATGAACAAGACTACCATCCCTAATCTCCTCATTTCCGACTATTCTTCCACTCGTTGAGGGCATACAGTCCCCATCGCCTTCATCCCCTATGGCATTAACCCCATTTTCCAAGTTGCCATCTTCTAAATGATCATCATGCAACTCATCCTCATCATCAACTGAAACCCTACCACTATCAGGTTCACTAGACTTCATAGCCCTCGATTTATCACTGTCCAAGCATGGTTCTTCCTCCACCGGATCATCCTTCACAGACTTAATATCCTCATCATCATCCCAACAAAGCTTCCTCTTCCCACGAGCCTTATTCCGACTACCTATCAAACTAAGACCCTCACTCTTACCCCTAGACCTTACCCTCAACCTCAAAGCTCCCAATTCCTCCTCCAAATTCACAACACTCGGAATAGGACCATCATTCTTCACATTCCCCTTCCCCCTCAACTTCTTCCCTGAACCCCCACTAACATTCCCCTCTATTTTATCAATTTTTCGCCTCTTCCTCGAAGGGGCAGGAGACGAATCAAGAATCACCGGTGCCCTTATCGCCCTCGAGCTTCGACGAAGCTCAGTCTCCTTCCCCACCAATTCCCCTCTACTACTAGTACCCTCATTAGACTCCAATTTAACCCCACGATTCTGATTATACACATCCTCACTAATTGCATCAAGTCTTTTATGTTTCTTTCGAGTTCTTACACCCGACCGGTTCCCATTCCCTTCTTTCGAAGGAGAAATGGTTTCCGATTCAGATTTTCGCATCACAAATTACTTCCAAAAAACAGAGCAAACCCCCCCTATTTTCGATTATTCATCCAACAAACATTACAGAAATAAAACCCTAATCATACATCAACATTCATCAAATTAAAACTTCAAATTAAACTCAGAAACACTCACCTCTTCGTCGACAACACCAATTTGATCCCCCAAAAAACAATCACATAAACCCTAGAAACTCCAATGCAAATTTCATCCACAAACATCCCAAATCATCTCATTGATTATCGATTAAACGAAGAAAATGTTGAAAAATCTGCAGATTTTTAGGGTAATTACAGCATTATCTTGACACTTTTTCTCTCTCCTCTGTTTTCAATTTCATTCGAACTTCATTTTTCATGCGCTTGTTATTTTGAAGAACTAGGGCAGAGAAAAGGGGGGAGTGTTCATATTATTTGCTTAATTTTTATTTTTTTGTATAATCTCACGCGCTAATTATCACGTGAATAGACGCGCTATTCAAAGAAGAAGTTAACGTTTTTTTTTTGCACTTTTTGTCCAAATTGTTTGGAAATGAATATTTTGGTAGGGTCATTTAAATTGGGTATCCAAAGCACGTGGGTTAATGAGAGTGGGCAATTTTTTTATTTTTAATTTTTTTTGGAAAGAAATTGAGAAAATTGGATGATATGTTATTTTCTTGAATGTTGTTGTATTTTTTCCCACCAAACACTTTTACCGCCAAATGTGGGGAGTGCCTCAACTAGAAATGAGAGAATTGAGGGGTCTCTTTTGGATTTGGCAATACATACATCAAGCTTTAAAAGCAAGTGGTTGGAAAGATGGGGTATTCTTTGCAAGGGTTTAGCAGGAAAGAGGTCAATTTTAGTGAAAGGGCACTTTTTTAATGACCGTGTCAATGTTTATCCTAAAAGCGTTTATCTTGTGATAATATTGTAATAAAATGCATTGGTTTTGTCTCTTTATTTAAAAACTTTTCCTAATTAAAAGAAAAGGCAAATATAAAAACATAAACTATAGCCGTTTCTTGACAACTTCAAAGACAAAAGCTCACTAGCAACTTCAATAGAGAATGCTTCAATGAGGGATAAAGAGATTCATGTCATTTCAATGAAGACTATTAAAAATTACCATAAAAAACTAACACCGCCATTTCTGACAGCTTTGCCGATGATTTCAAAGAAAAATTTAAAAGGAATGGTCAATTACATAGGGTAGATGTTTATGGTTAATTACATAGGGTAGATGTTAATCGTTTGCTCGTGATCTCTCTACTCTATTGATTTCTCCATTGAAGTTGCTTGTGAGCTTCTTTGTTTGTTGCTTCTTGAATACTCCGTTAAATTTTTGCTCAAATCATCAATTACACATTTTATGAATCCCTATATTACCCTCACTTCATCAAGGCAAAGTATCAAAATTAACACGAGATAATTGTTACATGTTTTTTTTTGAGATAAACTTGTATTTCTCCTTTTTTATATTTCGTATATGCTTAAGATGTTTCTCAGCTAGAATTCTTATAAAAATAAATTATAGATAACGGTTTACCATGCTTATCATACACTTTAACCTAATTAATAAAAATTCCTGATTACAACTAAATCACTAAAAAAAATTACAAATGCAATTTTTAATTCATGCCCTTTGTTCCTTTCCACCAAAAAGCACTTGCTAAGCCCTAGAATAGAAGAAGAAATTAAAGACAAGCTGTGATATATTTCATACCAAGATGATTAATGATACGATCTCATCAGTAGTTGAAGCCAAGATGAATTTCATTTGCATGGTTGAAATGGGACAATTTGGTTTGTCTTTTTGGTGTAGAGAATAACAAAAATGTTTGGTTTGAGTGATAGGGATCAATAAAAGGCTTATATAGAACATAGAAAGTGGGACAAAAGGTTTGGATCCATGCAACATCAATACAACACCTTCTCCCATTACATATTAACATATACAATGCAAGTATGCATCCCTCGAGATTTAAACTAGAAGCTCCAAACTTTCTATGAAAGAATCCACTGGTGTCGGTATGTAGTTGCTATCTCCCATATCTTCTAGTTTTAGCATGACAGACACATAATCAACTGCAGCTATCAGTGGTAAATCCAACTGATCTTCACCTAGAGACAGAGAGGACATCAACTACAAAGTTTAGCATGCAAACAAGCTTGACCACAACAATCATAACTAAGAAAACGCAAAAAGAAGTATACCTAATGCGGTTTTCAAAAAGAAAATCAACACTTTTGGGATCTGCAGGACTCCGCCTGGCAGTAATTTGCATTAATACACCATCTGCCAACATCCGTTGTACCACCTTTGCTATGTTCTTTGTGTCATCGATACCTAGGTGATGACTTCCCAGTAATGGGATTTGAAGTTGATCCAACATGGTCCTCATTCCTTTGGCCTGGCATAATGAATTAGCAAGTCATGCTGGAACAGAAAGACTAAATGGAAAAGATGGAATCAGCAAAGCTGTAGTCTGACTAGTCCTGACTAATAGAAAATTATGATTAATAAGTTATGTTAGACCTAATTTGCAAAATTGCACAGCTGACTGAAGTATTAATGACCTATTAAATAAATGCAAGAAATGTAGACACTTTCAGCTTGCTAAACAGTCAAGCATGTATGATTACATTTGCAAGCCGGCATAGAACTCCAATGCCCAGATCCATTTGAGGATCTATCAAGAGCTAATCACTAAACAATTAATTGCCAGTTTGCCAACAATAACCTACCGTTCTATTGTAGAAGTTCAAGTAGATATCCTTCAAATTAATCCACTCCATGAAATAAGGGGGTATTTGCATTCCACATACTTGACATTGCTGAGGAATTTTTGTTTTGATGTCCCAGTTGCCACTGTAACAGTAAATGAAAAGTCAATAACTTAATCTGAAGCCTATGTTCTGTATTTCCAATTAATGACACGAGAAAAAGGGAGTTTTAAGGAAGTAACACCTAAATAAGAGAACAGAGAAAGACCACAAAAACAAAATCAATAAGGGCACAAGTTACAGGGATGTAAATCTTACAACTATTATGTTAATTAGACCAGCAATGCTTAGCTAACCAATTAGCATTGCGGGGTATTGCAAAAAAAAAAAAAAAAAAAAAAAAAAAAAAAAAGGATGTTATCACCAAAGACTTGACAATTTGAAGATTCTAAGATGCAGCATTCAGGTCATGCTAAAATTGCTAGTATTCGTCTGAACGCAAGTCAAGTGGACATGGATTTGACAATAAAATTGTAATATTTAATCAAAGGATAAAACCTTGAATGGATCAACCAACCAACAACTGCCTTCTACACGCTTTCATGCAAGAATGACAAGTTGATTACAATGCAATGACATGATTTTAATCACAAGTAAAGTCTAGAAATTTGGAAATTTGTTGAGGTTTGATTGTATTCTTGCTACAAACTTACATGGACAGCTGCAATGCCTGCAACTGCAGGTATATGATAGATTGATAGGTATTATTAACATTTTCACATGAAAACCTTGAAGATATAACAGTTATGCCTGATATACTATGCAAGTCTTCAAGCTATATATTGTCAACGGGAGTTTACTGGGCTGAATGGGCATGAAGTCAAATCTCTTTGCTTTAATTAACAAAGAAGCGTCCAGTATCTAATCATAGATGAACTCAGATATTACAGAATGAGTTTACTTAATAACACTCACCAAGTCACAAAAGCAGCTCTGTTTAGGGATCCACCACTCTCCTTTTCCCACAGGTTATGACCAGAGATCCAAGCCTCAAATTCTTGAATGACATCTTTAAAAGGTATAGCTGTATCATGCCAAACACTGCATAAATTTAAATATTATATCAACTCCTTAACATCAAGAAAATTAATCGCATCAAATCATTGAAAAATACCCCTTTTAGTTTTGTTTGGACTTTAAATTGCCAAAACCCAAAAGAAGTGCAACATCTTATATTTAAAAGCGACTCGATTAATTTCAAAGTAAATAAATAGAAATGTTGGCCATGGGTTTTTCCATTGTATCAAACAAGGTCAATAAATCAGGTCATGATACGAGTTTAACATGTCCTATCTTGAACTTACCGATCAACACCTATTTTCCCATATTTTCCTTCAATGTATTCGTTTATCCTTTGCTCACTCATCTTTGTAGGCCTAACAAACCTGAAGAAGAAACGCAGAAGAAGTGAATAAGCCACATAAATAAAGGCATGTTAAAAACTGCACAAGCTTATAGCTTAGAAAGCGAAAGGGTGCAAAATCTAGAAATTTTGTAGGGGGAACCTTTGCAAAATCTCTCTTAAGAGAACGTAAACATAGATCTGGCCTTATCACAATGTAAATACATCAAACATCCCTCTGTCTAAACCCTTTTTATTTTATCTTTTACCTGTGGGAGAGAGAGGGGGGGTAACTGAGGCACATCTTAATTTGAGGGGGGGGGGGGGGGGCTGAGGCACATCCATGCCATGAAAAAAGACTGAAGTTTGGAGAACACTAACAGGGAAGAGCATAGTAGAAATTTGGTAAGAAAACCAAACCTGTGGAAGAAATCAACAACCTGCAATGTTTTAGCATCAATTATCATAACTGGGAATTCAAGTATTTCAACTTTTCCTTCCAAATCGATCACCAGAAAGAAATCTATATTCTGTGAGCGCAACTTATCCGATTTAGAAATATTTTCTTCAAGGGGCACAGAGCAATTGTGATTGAACTTGTCCAGATGGAAAGATTCATTCATCTGCATATTGATATAATTGCATGAGAAACATGCAGTTTCATAATACTACCAACTCTGAAAAATGCAGTAAATTTGGCTTTCCCCCTTGATAAGAAACAAGAAATGCTTATAAACGAAAACAAGAAACAAGCTAGAAGGAAGGAACATGTTCATCATAGCTCCACACCACCACATAATTTGCTTTTTTTGGTTTGCAACAGCAGATTGAATTTCATTTATATTTTCATGATATGTACAAAGGACATATGTACTACTTGATCAAAAAAATTAATAACATTGAAAAACAGATATTCTTGAGAAGAGACTCAGTCCCATGACTGTATAATACTCCGTATAAGAAATGAGTTAATCTGTCATCCTTAATTCACTAACAACACTGTACACTGAAAACCCTGGAATGACTTCATATTAAGAAGGAATTAGATGAAAACTTAAGCAACTCTGGAATGACTTCATATTAAGAAGGAATTATATATACTCACCAGTACCAAAACCCCAAACATAAAGTCTTCTATATTGCCTGGTAATAGCAAAAAAATGATCAAAATGATAAGATCAATAAGATGGATGGCACGGAGTTCATTAAAGCTCGAAGTCATCCAGCGATTTTTTTTTTCTCAAAGGCCTATCCTCAACATCAATGGTATTCAAAGAAACATAGATTAATTTCATCAATTAATTAGCTACTCGTAATATAAGACGACAAATGACACAAAATGATACAAGAAACGGCGTTCATATAACAAATTTCTGAAGAACACATATTGTGTCACAATCAGCTAGTCCTATAACGAGCACTTAGAAGCTAAAAAAACTAAATTAAACACCTGAGTTAGCAAACTAGCATTACATTAATAAAATCAACTCAGGCATTTCATCGAACACTTAACGTGCAACATTTTACATGCAATGAAAAACCCAGAAAACACAATCCCCAACAACCCTTCTGAAATTCGTCTTCTTTCACCAAGTAATCAAATTCCCAAAATTCCTTCCACAATCTAGTTTTTTTAAAAAATAATCGAGCTTGAAGAAAATAAATAGAAAATTAAGGATTTAAGGGAAAAGTGAGCTTACCAAGGTGCATTTTCCTTGAGTATAATACAAGCACAAGGGTTTCCAACTGGGTCTCAAAGTTTTGAGAATGGGACCTTGTTCAGAAGAATGATGAGTATTTGAGTCTTGGGTTGAGAGAGAAGCAGAGAGACGACTGAATCTGCGGGAAGTGGAGAATGGAGGAGAGAGAAAAGAGAAAAGGGGTGAAGAGGAGAGAGAAGATGAACGAAGTAAAGGAATTCGAGAAATGCAAGCTCTGGAAGACGCCATTGTTGAAGGCTTGAGCTTTGAAGCTGAGGTTTAAACTTTAAACTTTAAAGTGGTGTGGTATACTGGTATTGGATTGTGAGGCCGAATTTTAAACTTGGTTGAGTCCAGATTCGCGGGCTCCTACAGGGCTATTGTCATCAGTCATCTACTGTACTCCGCAAATTTTTTTTTTTTTTTTTAATTTTTTTTTTTTTTTTTGGAAGAATTGGTTTAAAAATAATCTCATGCTCAATTTTTTTAAAACATAAATTTTTGTATGTGGTGGGCCACATATATTTTGTTTTTTTTTTAATTTTTGAATACAACAAGTCTTCTCTCTCCTTTTTTTTTTCTTCTTCTCCAAGCCAAACCGCACATCACCAACAACCATATCTCTGGTCCACCCATTTTCTCTCTCCTCTTTGCCAAATTGCTGCAATTAAAGCCCGAAATTGTAGAAATTGGGTGTCAAATTGCTGTGAAAAATAGCGATTAATTAAGCTTAAGATCATCAACAGCATTTGAAGTAGTGAAATTGATGAAATAAGAGCTCGTTTTCTTCGTGGAATCTTCAATTGAACATTCTTCGTCAAAAATTCAGCAACCGAAACAACAATAATAGTATGAGTAGATTGTAGAGTACTTTTTTGCTTCATTTTTGAATTTGGTAGTTTTGAGTAATTTGTTAGAGAATGAAGTTAGGTAGAGATTTGCAGAAAATCAAAGAAAAAGGAGAGAGAAGGTATAGCTGCATGAAGAAGAAGAACAAGGAGGAGGAGGAGGAGCGAACTCATTCGTACTCTTGAGTTGATCATGGTGTGGTCAGGGGTTACTTATATGGTGTTACTTGTAGGGTGTTACTGGTTTATTAGTCAGGAGTTACTTATAGGATGTTGTTGGTTTAGTATAGGGGTTTGGTTTGGGATTTCTTGTATTATGGGGTTAATTGTTTGGTGTTACTGGTTTGGTCAGGGGTTACTTGTAGGGTGTTACTGATTTGGTATGGGGTTACTCAGAATACAAGTAACACCTACAAGCAACCCATACAAGTAACCAGTGGCGGATCCAGGATTCCGGACTAGGGGTAGCACTAAACGCATACTAGAAAAATTAAAGGGACGAAATAACCAATATACACCTATGAACTTGAAACTCAAACTAAATTTAATTAAGATGGTAATAACACATCAAGTTAAAGTTTTTAAATAATTGTGATTTTGCATAATTAAGATGATAATAACTAGGGATGTTAAAAAATATCCGGTCCGAAATATCCGATCCGAAAATCCGATGATCTGATCCGAAATTTTGGATATCCGATCCGGTTTTTAAGGTTTCGGATATTTCGAATCGTATATCCGAAAAAATCGGATTTTCGGATCGGATACGGATCAGATTTTGTCCAAAAATTTTAACTACCCGATCCGAAAACCCGATTATCCGATCCGAATATTCGACTATCTGATCCGGGAAAATCCAGTTATCCGATCCGAAAATTTCGGATCGGATTCGGATTGCAATTTCTCCAATCCGAAAATTTCGGATATCCGAAATTGAACAGCCCTAGTAATAACATGCACATCAAGTTAAATTTCAAGTATCTATACATTTTTCTATGAGTTATTATTGCGAATAAAATTATACATGTACAACATACTAGCTATCAAAATATATATTTCGTATTACAATCAAATAAAATTAGTCAATTTATTAGATATTACTAATTTTCTTCACAGACGAATAATCTATATATATTTATATATATTTCATACTATTATTGTTGTTGAATAAAATTTTATGGAAGTTATTTTTATGTAATGTATTTTAAAATTAATGTCAGGAAAGTGAAAAGTAATTTAGAAAAGAATCAAATTTTGTTGGAAGCCAATTGTATCTTATCTATTTAAATGTCAAGACAGAGGAAAATTATTTGGGGTGGAAAAAAAATAAAGCATTGATAGGTGATTTTTTTTTTCAAAAAAAAAAAGACTTATAATAAACCAAAAAGAAAGTGTTTGTTGTAAAAAAAGGAGCAAAATATGGAGAGAGAAAATATGGAAGCTTTAATTACTTGCTTTGTAATTAATGAAAAAAAAGCGTATGGGGAGAGAAGCGAACCGCTGACCCCAGGGCACTTCAAAGGAAGCTTTAATTACCTACTTTGTACCGTTGAAGAAAATTCAATATTCATGTAATATATGCATTGTTTTATACTTATCAAGTATTTAGAAGGAAGGTTTTTTTTTTCTTTTTCCCGGGGGTAGCACGTGCCCCCCCCTCCCCGGGTTCCAATGTAGATCCTCCAGTGCAAGTAACCCCATAATACAAGTAACACCTGCAAGTAACCCCTGAAAAAACCAGTAACACCCTATAAGTAACCCCTGCCGCACCATGTGGCCTGCCACACTGAAAAACCTATGTTTTAAAAATAATTCCAACTTTCAGAATAATCTTAATTTTAAGATTGTTTTCTTCTACCAATTCCAATAACCGGTAACTTGTTGAGAGTGTTAATTTTTTTTTTCAAAAAATCATGTGTCACAAGTAAGTTAAAATTTTGTAAAACAGAACAAAAAACCCCAAAATACCCACCCCCTCCCCTGAGCCCACTAGCGCCATCTCCCCTCCCCCTGCACTAGTGCCCAGACCCCAACTGTAGGCGTCGCTCGAAGTGCGCCTACGTTAAAACATGTGTGAATATGCTTGGCACTCATAGGAAGTGGGAATTGACATATACGATTAGGGACAAGGAAAGTAGGGAGCCGCCAACAAGTTTTTAAGGAACTTGTAAACCGTTCACAGATCATAAAAAAGCAACCATGAATAAGGGACAACGATAGGTAACAACGATTGACCCGTGAAGATTACATCTCATTCATAATCCATGAGATTACTAACTCCATATGGTTCAGAACCACGAAAGGAGGATCGGGGATGATGGTACGAAGTGAGTCATGGACTCACATTCGCCCGTATTGGCCTCTACTCGATTCTTATAGTGAAAAGTGATTCCTGCGATCTCAAAGGCATACAAACAAAATATTCAATTCGCTCCAAACTATTATTAAGCTAAATTGGTTGAATATTAATGCAACACATAATTCTAAAATATTTGTGATCACTTGAATTAATTAACAAGATTAAAAAGGAACCTAAACCGGTTGTCCAAATTATCTTATTAGGCGTGATTTTCAATTACATATTCCCTTTAAACATGCAATATAGTGATCAATAAATAATAGAATAAACATTAATATTGGAAGCAATTTAACCATAATTCCAACAATATAAAATCGTTAGAAAAATATTAGAAATAAAAGGAACATAATTCTTACTTTGATTCTATTTGTTTGCAACTACAAAATAATAATAAAACAATAATTAAATTAAATTAAATAAAGTAGAGTTGATTTGGGGCCAAACCCTTAAACAGTTCTACCTTTCACGCCTTGGCTTAAGGACAGAACCACGAGTAAAGTATGGACTCCTTGGAGTACTTGAAGAAGGAATTTTGAAATAAGAAGGGTAGGCTAGTGTTTAGGCTAAAGCATAGAAGAGAGAAAAATAGAGAATTAATTGATGCCCGTACATTAGAAATGAGGGGGTATTTATAGAGAAAATGTGCTAAGGGAACACACGGAACCCTAAAATGATAAAAACCCTAAAAAAGTATCCCGCGACACGGAAAACTTTACCGTGACACGGGAAGTCCCACCGTCAGACGGGATACATTCCCGTGACACGGTGCAGTTTTAGTGTGACGCGGGAAATTTTTAGCAAACGGGGAAGAAAACGCATTAAGGGTTTACGCGGAAAGGACACGGAAATTCCCGTGTCACAGCAGGTTTCCCGTGTCACGGGAAATCCCACTGTCAGACGGGAATGATTCCCGTGACACGATGGGTACCTGCCGTGGCGCGGGAATTTTCAGCCCGCTTTTCCGTCTAAATACATTTTTAACCCTAATTTCGTTCAGCATTTTAAGTGTCGATTGATAATTTCAGGCCTTTTTTTGATTTATTATTATTTGGGTTAAAATAAGAAAATAAGAAAATAAAATGAATGAACGGTTTGGGCCAAAAATAAATGATAAAACAATAAAATAAAAAAGGTTTGAGCTGAAATTAAATAATAAGTTTGGGCTGAAATTAAAACTATGTTTTTATCAAACATCAAGACTAATCCATGGACTGTTCAAAAATACAAATTTAACCAAATACGATTTTTTAAGCACTCTCGGGATTAAATACTGAACCCGACCAATAGTGACGGTGAAAGGTTGTTCATCATCGGGTTTGGTTTTGGGGAGACATTTTTAGGTGTCTACAAGCCCCCACTTTGACTGAGTTTGTAAAAACGTCAGTTTCGAAAATGATAGTTAAAGTAGTCGATAGGGACGGAGAATGATTTAAGACGTAAGGCGATCCTAAATCACTCTGTATACGCCGATACCTGCAGAAAAATGTTAATTCCACAGATAAAAGAGTAAAAGGATAGAATACGTATCTGGCACCAGTGTATCGGTGACAACTGAGTTTGGCAGCTTCTTATGCTTGAAGGAATCCACCGAATAACGTTCGTTGAAACGTTTTCCATGCTTGAGGAAAGCCGACTGAGGAGTTTGGTAGTTTTCTAAGCCTGAAGAAACCTACCGGATGATACTTTCCATGCCTGAGGAAAGTCGACATATGAATCCACCGATGATGCTTTCCATGCTTGAGGAAAGCCGACAAAGGAATTTGGCGGTTTTCTAGACTTGAAGAAAAATCCACCGATAACGCTTTCCATGCTTGAGGAAAGCCGACTTGGCGGTTTTCTATACTTGAAGAAAAATCCACCGATAACGCTTTCCAAGCTTGAGGAAATCCGACGACTACTGTAATCGTTGAAATTTGCAAGTGTGTGATGGTTCGATTATCCCCGAACGTGGGCCACAGATGATTCACACCTTCAAGTCGATTATCCGACCATATTAGGTGCCTGAAATATCGACAAAATTGATTTTGACGCTTCTTAGGGGCAAAAAGGTAATTTTGATACCTTTCAACCGTCAGTTAGAATTTTCCGCGTAATTTTACCGAAAAATTAACTGTCCAATTTGCGCGGAAAATCGTGCAGCTTTGGTAAAAAATACCAGGAATATTCGCTGCCAGCTTCAAAAATGTGCAAGACAACAGCCTAAACCCCGTGCCACGTGGACACATCCCGCGACATGGTGTTTTGCCGTCAAACGGGAGTAATTCCCGTGTCGCGGGAATTTTTTGGCACAAAAAAATTCCACGCGTTTCGTTCCACGCGCCTGAACACCGTTGCTTGATAACGGAAAATGTGGAACGGTAACGGGGTCTGCAACAGTTACTTTTGGCTTTAAATATCAACCATTTCTCCTATTTTGCTCACTCACCATTTCTCTTTCTTGTCCTGTTTTCACTCAAAATTTTTTTTTTAAACTGCTCGGATTCCCGTGACTCGTCGGCATCTCACCGGTGCTCGGTTTTTCATTCCGTAAGCCGGAATTATCTCCCGTGTCACGGCGGTTCTGCGCTTTTTTCTTCCTCCCTTTTTTTTTAATTTTTTGCTACTGCTT